ATCACGACGTGTGCGCCCCTTTGCTATGGGCTTTGTACAAGCGTTAATAGCACATGCGAGTGGTCTGATGATAAGTCCGAGACTGCTTTGGCGCTTATAAGATTGTTAGTCCAGAGTATTTCTAACATTAAACGATCCTCAAGTGAATTTTAGTATCCTTTCCAAGATTGAGCAGCGAGGAGGGTAGTAAACGAATGCGATTGAAAGGCTTCCGTTGCTTGACTGAATTTTTATCGATGAGGCCTGCAAGAAGTTTGTTGCAAAGCTTTTGTGAGAATGGTGTTTGATGCGTCCTCTGATTTAAACTCCGGTTCCGCCGTGGGCTTTCCCATCCGGATGATCTGTACGGTAGATTGTACAGCCTCTTTTTTGAAAGTTCTATTTGTTATTAAGGTGCGTTTCCACCAGTAGCATAACGCTAATATAGTTTTCGTTCAAGAATTTTGACAATTTTCGTTTAAGAACTAGATTTTATACCGTGAGACATCATTGGCGTTCCACATTAATGCTAAGAATTTAACAGAGAGCGTTTCAACTAATGCCGTTAGTGGAGGGGGACGCTAATTCTCATTTAAAACGGCAAGCAATACCCTAGCATACTGTTTCGATACTTGCAGCCATCTGCAGCGGTAACTTCACCTCCATTTCTTCAGCCCTGGAGGAACACTTGCGGGGCTTGCGGCAAAAGCTTGTGTAACAAGAAAGCAAAGCTAACTTCGGGCGGAGCCGAAGTTGATATACCCTTGCAGCTAAAACCGAATATATAGCGCAAACATCGGATATAGTTGGCCGATCCTTATGATTACATCATAATAAAACCAATTAATTACAATAAAAAATCTAAAAAAAAGTCCCAAGCTTCTATCTTCAAAAATACGAAATTTAATATTTCTACCAAATACCATTTCCGATCGTTCAGTTATATGTCAGCTATAAGATATAGTCAACCGATCCTAATGAAACTTTGTAGGTCGGATTAACTGACCAAAAATAGAATGTGTACCAAGTGCCAGCTTTCTATCATCAAAAACACGAAAGTTGGGTCATTTCCGATCGTTCAGTTATATGGCAGCTATAGGATATAGTCGGCCGATCCTTATGAAATTTGGCATGTCATATTATTTTGCCAAAAATAGCTCTCATATCAAATTTGAACTCTCTAACTCTAAAAACACCGAAGTTATACCATTTCCGATCAATCAGTTATATGGCAGCTATAGGATATAGTCGGCCGATCCGGGCCGTTCCGACTTATATACTGCGTGCAAAGGAAAGAAGGGTGTGTGCAAAGTTTCAAGTCGATAGCTTTAAAACTGAGAGACTAGTTCGCGTAGAAACAGACAGACAGACAGACATGCTCATATCAACTCAGGAGGTGATCCTGATCAAGAATATATATACTTTATAGGGTCGGAGATGTCTCCTTCACTGCGTTGCACACTTTTGGACAAAATTATAATACCCTCTGCAAGGGTATAAAAATAGAATCCATAGAAAATCCCAACTTTCTACCTCGAAAAACACCAAAATTATGCCATTTCCAATCAATCGGTTATATGGCAGCTATAGGATATAGTCGGCCGATCCTTATGAAATTTGGTAGCTCGTATTCTTTTGCCAAAAATAGAATTCGTACAAAATCCGAACTCTCTAACGCTAAAAAAAACCGGAGTTAAAGCATTTCCAATGAATCAGTTATATGGCAGCTCTAAGATATAGTCGGCCGATCCTAATGAAATTTGGAAGGTTGGATCAACTGACCAAAAATAGAATCTGTATTAAATTCCAGCTTTCTATCTTCAAAAACACAAAAGTTGGGTCATTTCCGATCGTTCAGTTATATGGCAGCTATAAGATATAGTCGGCCGATCCTAATGAAATTTGGAAGGTTGGATCAACTGACCAAAAATAGAATCTGTATTAAATTTCAGCTTTCTATCTTCAAAAACACAAAAGTTGGGTCATTTCCGATCGTTCAGTTATATGGCAGCTATAGGATATAGTCGGCCGATCCTTATAAAATTTGGCATGTCGTAATTTTTTGCCAAAAATAGCTCTCATGTCAAATTTGAACTCTCTAACTCTAAAAACACCAAAGTTATACCATTTCCGATCAATCAGTTATATGGCAGCTATAGGATATAGTCGGCCGTTCCGGGCCGTTCCGACTTATATACTGCGTGCAAAGGAAAGAAGGGTGTGTGCAAAGTTTCAAGACGATAGCTTTAAAACTGAGAGACTAGTTTGCGTAGAAACAGACAGACGGACAGACAGACGGACAGACAGACGGACAGACAGACGAACAGACGGACAGACGGACATGCTCATATCAACTCAGGAGGTGATCCTGATCAAGAATATATATACTTTATAGGGTCTGAGATGTCTCCTTCACTGCGTTGCACACTTTTGACCAAAATTATAATACCCTCTGCAAGGGTATAAAAATTTGTGAACCAAGTACAAACGAGTGTTTATGCACTTGCAACTGCATGAACCGGTAGCGGGGATCACGACTGGGTCACCAAATATTAGCTGCCAAGCGATTCCTGGCGATTATTTTCGAAGCCCCGAAAGACCCTAAAGCTCCGAAAGAGGACGTAAAGTGTATTCTGTATTTAGTCGGCCGATCCCGATTCTTTTTCTTGATCATATTCTTAATCAAGCTTTCGATAATAGAGCCCTTCGAATCGCGACTGGGGCCCACGTCTATCATGACAATCGCACCATCCACGAGGTTCTCAATTTCCCTTGGGTCAAGGACGAGATACAAAGAAGCAGCGCACGTTACATGCAGAGGCTTCATAATCACCCGAACCGGTTGGCCAGCTCCCTGCTGGACAGCAGCGAGCAACCCAGAAGACTTAAAAGGACACACCCGCTGGACCTCCCCTTACTACTCTAATTTTTTTTTCTACCATATTAATATTTAAAATTATCTATACGTGAAGTTTACGTGATAAAATTTAATGGTTGTCCCTTATGGACAGTTTTAAATAAACATTACCCTGCTATTACAAAAAAAAAAAAAAAAAAAAAAAAAAAAATTTTCTTAATCGAGATCACCTGCTAAGTTGATATAAGCATGTCCGTCTGTATGTTTCTACGCAAACTAGTCTCTCAGTTTTAAATCTATCGTCTTGAAACTTTGCACACACCCTTCTTTCCTTTGCACGCAGCATATAAGTCGGAACGGCCGGGATCGGCCGACTACATCCTATAGCTGTCATATAACTGATTTATCGGAAATGATATAAATTTGGTGTTTTTAGAGTTAGAGAGTTCAATTGAATGAGTTCAGTAATTGAATTTTTTGATTAGTTCAGTTCGCTGTGACTAAACTCAAACATGCCTTGGGATGGGGGATTAGCGGGATGGGGGATGAGTTTTTGGTTTGTGGTTGTCTTGTACAACAACACTCACAAGTACAATTTGGACCAATTAGTTACTTTCTCCATGGAAAAGCTCCACGAATCATGGAGAACGCAAAACTCTCAAAAAGCTTTGGTGGCGCTTTTAAAGCTTTTAATTGCAATTTTAGTAATGTATGACGAATTTACTTTAAGATTAAAATAAGAAAACAACTATATATTAACATTGAAAAATCGACTTTATGCCAAAAAAAACTGAATCTGGACCATAGTGCATTGGTCAAAATTTATACTTTTAGGAATAATACGTCATTCTTATTCAAAGTGTTGGTAATAGATATAATCGGAACTAATGAAACTATCTTCCAAATATTTGCATTTATAGGCAAAAGACATAAACTTAAGATTCGCAAAGCAGCCAGCAAAGAAAACTGGATTTCACTAGATGGCTCCACAGTTCCTTTAATATAATTAGCAACACATCCGTTAAATATCGATATATTACAGGAAAATACATCCAGCTAAAAATTATTCCTTACAAGATTATGACAATATCAAGATCATTTTCGGGTCAGGCAGCAGACACAAGACTGGGAGATCGGCCGTGTAAACGTTCCAAGAAGAGGTAGTGTGGTCGGGGCAGGCTTGTCTTGAGCTTGAGCAGGAGACCGGTGTGCCAGACCCGATCGAAGGCTGGTTTGACGTCCAGCAGTAAAGCCAGGCAGTACTTCTTGGTTTCAAAGGAGTCCAGGATATACTCCACCACTCTGTGGAATTGTTCTGGAGTTCCGTGGGACCGCCTGATTCGAAACTGGTGATCGGGGATCAGACCAGTAGCGGCAATGCTCTGTTGAAAAATAGTCGGAAAGAACCCAATTTCCAAGCATCTGTTGTCGATCTTTGTCAATAGCTTTATGCTTGGAGGTGGTAACAGTTTCAATGCAATTCCATTGATACCATCAACGAGCGTTGATGGGACCTTATTGTTGCTCATTATTATTTTTTATTAAAAGATCAAAAAAATTAATAAAAGTTTATTTATTTCTTCGGTGCGTCCGATACTGGAGTATGTGTCTGGAGTCCCAGATATGGAGTACATAAAGACCGCACAGAATCTGTACAAAAGATTTTCCAGTTTTTCCATTTAAGGAACTTTAAATACACATCTTCTAATATTATAGACGTTTCGACCAGCCTCTTCCTTATGAACTTACACCCATAACAAATCGTAGAACAATGCTGGGTGTAGTTTTTCTACACAACATTATTAAATGTGATATAGATAGCCATTCTTTACTAACACGCTTACATTTTAACGTTCTTAATAGAAGGACTAGTTCCTTTAGTACCATATTTTTTAGCCATTGTAGTTGATTTGAGTAAAATTTAGGGAGTTACCCAGTGCGCCAAATTTCGATAGTTAGACGAAACTTTCATACAATGGACTAATGATAAACACCAGCGAGCAATTACAAATATATCGTGAAGGGCACTGGGTGCGAGTTGAGCTGTAAAAACTCCTTTTTTTTGTTTTACTATTTTTTTAATTGTTTCTTTTTGCGCATTTTACATGAGAATGCAAAAACATCTTTATTAAGGCATTTAAGCCAAAAGTTTTTTTTAACATACCCAAAGTTATATATGGTGTTGTCATCCGAGAATCTGAGCTTTGTAAGGCTACATTACATTCAACATTTGTCCCAATAGCATCTTGGAGGGAAATGCCTATTGTCGAGTCCGGAGGAACTGCAGTTACAGATGTTGTTATTGTTTGCTCAGAGAAGTCTGAATTTTCAGATTTAGTGGTTGTCTTTAATGTAAACAATAATATTTTAAAAAATATGAAGTTTTTTGTGGGGATATGAAGATACTGACCTTGTCCAGATCATCTAATATATTCTTTTTCGTGGCCGGATCTATAATTTGTAGACGATGCTGATGGCGACGTCTACTGGGTTGTACAGGCACGGCTTGGGTTTGCACAGCTGCTGGTATTACACCAACCATAGGTGCCACACCTACCTGTCCCATTCCACTACCAGGTCCACCTACGCCAATCACCGTGTTCGCTCCAGTCGGCACTGAGCTTGTAAGCAGTTGCAACTGTGATGATGTAGGCCCTTGGCCACTAAGTGGACCGTTTTGTACAGATTGGACTGATTGCAAAGTGTTCGCCACATTGACGTTCGTATTTACCGTCACGGCGCTACGCGAATGTGGCGGTGGTTGTTGCTGAAGAGTTGGCACATATTGGTATTGGTAGTACGACAAAGGCGGAGCATATTGCATATGAGAAGCGGGAAAAGACTGCTGTCGCGGATTATACTGTGTGTATGGTTGTAGCACCATATTTTGGTGAAGGCTTTGAGAGTACATAGGTTGGACATGGACATGGCGTGTTCCATTGCCGTTGGCGCCACGTGGAGCGTTGGACGACGGTGGCGGTCCTCGAAAAATCACACTGCTTTGTGGGTTTGACCTACTGTTTCCAGAACTGCTGTTTCCCGTTGAAACGTACTAAAACAAAAGATGAAATAGAAAATTGATGTCTATAAAATTGTTGTATTTAGATTTTACAAACATTTAAAATATATATTCAAAATTTAACAACTGTGTTTAGTAAAATTTAACAACAACTGCTTTGTAATTTAACAAAGTGTTTTTTGGGGTAATAAAAGAGTCTCCGTTAAAAATAACTTAAATAAAAATATAATTATAATAAAAGTACAACCAAAAGAACACATTTTTTTTGAAAGTTTAAGCCTAGTACTCTGACGACGAAAATCCGCTGTCACACGTGTGCTAGCGAAATCGCTCTTTATTTGGCTACCGAGCTAGTGTGACGAAAAAATTAAGGAAAAGGGTAATACTGAACAGCTGTTCTCTTTCTCTTTCTCTCTCTAATATTTCTCTTTCAATTTTCGCTCCCTGTTTGGGGTGTCAAAATAAATCAAATTAATTATTTTTACACCCCGAGATCAGCTGTTTACTTTTTTCATCCGGCAACGCCATTCAAATTGATAGCCATCATTTTCGTCGTCAGAGTACCGGCAAAATCTAGGAGGCAAACATTTCTTCTTCTTCCTTTTTTCACACCGTTTTTTGTATATGGAGTTCGGCCGCTGTAACACGTGTGGAAATTTTTTTTTTGAAATTTTTTGTCAGTGTAATTCATTCAGCGATGCGGTGGCAGCGACGCATCGCGTCTGTCCGTACGAACGCGTAGATCTCAAAGACTATAAGAACATGGGATCGTATGATATCCGCACAAATCAAGTTTTTGTCAAAATTTGGAACACTCCCGCCCCCAAAACAAAAATCTGGTGTTACCGCCAGTTGTTTAATGTTTCAGGAAAATGTGCCAAACTGTTCCAATGGCTAATATACACATACAAATCAAAAAGCAGCCAAATCGGATAATTTTTAGAGAAATTACCGACTTTTAGGTCCGCTTCTTCTGCAGTCAGTAGTGATTTTGCACAAGCGCAAAAGAAGGCAAAAAATTTGTTGCTAAGAATCCATTCCGTTAAAGTTTGAACTCAAAAGGATACTTAAATTGTGGGTTTAAGGGGGGACATCTGAGTAACAGGCCAAAAAAAAGGGGATTTTCTCGAATTTTTTTTGGCCAAATGAAAAAGCCAATCGAAAATTTATAAATGAGGCTTAATTATATTATATTTAAGGTACACAATACAATTTTTTTTTAATAAATTGAAAACAAAATGGCGGCCCTGCAGCCCTTATTCGTAGGCCTTATTTTTTTAAAGAGGGTCCATGGCCGAACACCTAACGTCCTTAATTTTTGATCTAGAACAAAAAATCAAGTTTGGTTAGTTTCTGTATCTCAACGGCTATCGACACACGTAGGATTTTTTCGATACATAGATTTTTTTGCAAAATAGTGAGTGATTGAACAAAATTTTCAATTTTCACGAACAAAAAACGTCACAAAATTGTTGATAAAAAAAAAAGTAAGCAAAATAAAAAAAAACGCGTTTAAAGTTTTAAGTACTGTGGGATATACCTGTGAGGCATCGCCGCAGAATTAAAAATTTCGACACTTAGACACTTTTGCCGGACTCTATCTTTCGATATGTTATTTTTAAGACCCTAAAAAAAATATTTCGATTTTTTCAAAATTCTACTCAGATGTCCCCCCTTAAGGGATTGCCTTAGAGAAATTAACTCAGGTTAACTCCTCCTGAGTAATTAATTCCTGCTAGACATTAAACTTAAATTTGCCGACCATATTTCCTCAACGTTTAATAAGGCTTAAGTCCTTGGTTTTATTAAAAGGTGGTCAAAAGAATTTAACGACCCCTACATACATAACTAAAACCTTATTTATTTCTTTGGTCCGTCCGATACTGGAGTACGGTTCATGCGTCAGGAGATACCAATATGGAGTACATCAGGACCGCATAGAATCCGTGCAAAAGAATTTCTTAACTTTTTCTCGGATTCTAAACTCGGATGCAAATCTTCATTTCCATCTTATAATAGTAGACTCTTACTAATAAACTTACCCTGCTTAACAAATTGTAGGACAATGCTTAGTGTAGTTTACTCACTGCATAACCTAATTAATGGGGTTGTAGATAACCAGCATTTACTAACTGGCTTAAATTTTAACATTCCCAATAGAAGGACTAAAAGCTTTAGTCCTCTTTAGTCCATTGTAGTTCGACATATGCACAGCACGAACTTTTAGGGTCTTATGTTCGAACTACAATTGTCTCTACTATACAATATCTCTTTCCTGTCCTTCAAATTTAAAATATAGAATTTTAAATTTATTTTAAAATGGTTAGTGATAGCACGTTTGCGCAGTATTTCTCTGGTGTAGCGGAGGTGCGATGAGCAGCGGCCAACTTTTGATCCAGGAATCACCCGATCCAGGTGTTTTCTTGGTGTAGCGGAGCGGACGAGCGAGCCAAGTCTTTGACCAGTCGCAGACGACCCAAGGGTGTGTTCCGAAAGGTAGGAAGGCCTGCGTGCGGCCAGCGTAAGGGCGACATTTAGGGCGACCAACGGCAACGTAGCAAGAGGAACAGAAGCGGCGACGGAGCAACAGCCGCGATAATAACAACGGGAACGGGCAACAGGAAGCGCCGACGACGGAGCCGATCGGAAACCAGGAGGAGCAGCAAGGGTCCGGGGCGGAAGCCATTTTGGAAACAAGGAGTGATTTATATTTTATTTGGAAAGGCCTCTGAATAAAGGGTTTATAAAGTTTTATTCTATCTGTATTATTTCTGGGACCGGGCTATCACGTCGAACAGACCGAAAGTATGCAGTTTCGTAGATTGGACTTCGTTGCAAACTCCCTAAACTATATTCTGATAGTTCTTTCTTAGCATCCCACAATAAAGCCTTTACAGAAACTTGGTTAATGCGCGAGACCTTTAGCTCTTTAGACGTGAAGGGAGGGTAGGAGTCCTCATTTCGGTAGACTCCAATTAGAGGTCTGCAGGAATACTTTCTTATTGCCACAGTCATAGAATACATGCGAATGGAATAGAATGAATGAGTGACAGAGACACAATGAATTAAGTGAGAGGGAATGACAGAGTAAGAGAGCACTCTAACTCATGGGCATTCTCTTGCTTTGAAACCTACTGAATTGGGGTGGGAAGTAAGAAGAGTGCTTTTGAAATGGGGAATGCAGCCGAATGTCTCGAATGGTTTTTAATACACTCTATCAGGTCTATGCATATGACACTGCGTTTTTTTTACAACTTAGATTTATTAAAAGTAAATTGTGACAATTTCAATCTTAGAAGTATGCCCCTTCAGAAGCCACACATTTTGCCCATCTTTCGGGCAATTTATGAATTCCTCGCCAGAAGAATTCCTTTTCCTTGAACCCAAACCAATCCAAGCCAATCCTAAAGATCTTCATAGAAATCGAAGCGCTGGTTGGCTAATCCGTGTCGCAAACTGGAGAACAAATGGTAATCTGATAGAGCCAAGTCAGGTGAATAAGCCGCATGGGGTAAGGACTCCCAGCCAAACGTGGCTAATTGGTAGCCTCTTGCCCGTTGTGATGGCGCGATGTCGTCCAGAAGAATTGCTTTGTTCTGCCTTTTAGCGTATTCTGGGCGTTTTTGAGCAGAGATTCTTTCAATTCTTGCAATTTTTGCTGGTAGCGTTCGCAATCGACCCGGTTTCACCTGGTTTTAGGAGGTTCAAACCCGAAACGGTTTGGCCGCGATTGGGGTTGGGCCGGCTGGCATGGGATAACATAGAGTTTTTTTCGTTTGGGGTTTTGAAAATAGATCCAGTTTTCATCCACAGTGACAATGCAATGCAAAAACGACTTCCTTTTGAACCGTTTCAAAGCAATTTCACAAGTTTTTTTTTCTGTTCTCTGGTTGGCGTTCATTGAGCTCATGCGGAACCAATCTGCCGACATTTAACATTTTTCCCAAGACTTTAAGGCGTCTTCCAACGGTGCACTGGTCAACATTCAATTGTTCTGCTAGTTGTTCTTGGGTTTGGCCATCGTCCTGATCAAGCAACGCCTGCAATTCAGTCATTCTTCATTCTCAACTCCAAATTCACTGCTCTGGAATTTTTTTAAGCAACGATGTCTGCAAATGTGGTTTGTGGGTATAAAACATTTTCCACATATTCATTATTAGAAGAAAAAAAAATTGATTTTGAAAAAAAAAAAAAAAAACGCAAATAACGTTTGAACTGTGTTGCCAAATGTCCAAAGGTGCTAAAAAAAAATTGTTACCAAAAATTTATCGATCACTTTTGTTACCGATAATTAACAATGAAGTAAACGCAGTTTTATATGCATAGAGATGGTATGCATTCATTTATTATCTACTGTTGAGAAAAACGCTTGGGCAAGGTTTGGGTATTTCTTGAATTTTACGCCCTTTTATCCCAAATATAAAATATTTTCAGTGATAAAAGCAAATTTTGTATATTTGGGATAAAATGGCGTCACCTGGTATGGCGAAAAAAGATTAAAACCCTAGATATCCAAAATATTGGCCCAACCGTCAAACACGGTGGTGGTGGTATAATCGTTCGGGTATGTATAGCGGCTGGTAGAGTCGGTAATCTGGAATTCCTTGTATCCACAAAGGATCACAAGAAGTATATCAACATTTTAAAGCACAATTTATTTCAAAGCGCTGAAAAGTTACGACTGGAAAATGATTTTTTGTATTCATCTATGGGACCTATTGGAGCTCAGGACTCGCCAAAACACCAAGGCGATAGGCTCAAAAGGGTCATTCAGGAAGAATGGAGTAAAATAACGGCGAAGGATACGGCGAAATTGGTCCACTTAATGCCAAATTGGTTGGTTGAGGTTATGAAACTAAATAGATATCCAACTTCGTACTAATCTATAAAAAAAAAGGGATTTTTATACCCTTGCAGAGGGTATTATAATTTTGGTCAAAAGTGTGCAACGCAGTGAAGGAGACATCTCAGACCCTATAAAGTATATATTTTCTTGATCAGGATCACCTCCTGAGTTGATATGAGCATGTCCG